CAAAAACTCAAGGCGAGGTGGGACCAGCAGTGGGGAAGAAATCCTTCCTACAGTCACATCAGAGGATCACTTTTTGTTGAGCCTGTGGCCATTGAAGAACCCTTAGCTGTTTTGTTGCTTCTCTCTGTGACTAAATATTACTATGTTGAGTTCTTAGGTGTTCCCTGGGAAGCTGCTTGATCTACCTTAACAGTACCATTGCTAGAATTTAGCACTTTGAAATATTATTGATGGAAAAGGGAGGAAAAGAATTCGGTGTGGTTTGGCTTTTTTTTTTTTTTTTTTAAATGGGTTTTGGGATTGTTTTTACGTTGACTGGTTTGTTGGATTTGTTGTGTTTTGGGGGTTTTTTGGAGGGTTGTTAGTGTTTGCATCTCCTTAACAATCGTTTAAGAAGGAGACATTTCTTCATATTTTCTGGGTTTATCAGGTTCGGCCCAAACTCCAGCCTAAAAGAAAAAAGCACCTCTTCAGTAGTTATATTTAGGGATGCTTCAGTGTGCTTCCTTAGATTTCCTATATTTAAATAGGAAAGAACAACATAGACTAGACAGCTTTGAGAATTAAATTTGGAATCTAAAGGACAAGGACACGTTTAAAACACCGTATTTATATGACAACTAACAGATCTTACTGTTTTCTAGGTTGGACCAGACGATATTGGGAATTTTGATGCAGTGTTCACAGAAGAAATGGTCCCATACTCAGTTTGTGTTTCATCTGATTACAGCATCATTAATGCCAGTGTTCTAGAGGCAGATGATGCATTTGTTGGATTTTCTTATGCACCACCTTCTGAAGATATGTTTTCCTAGGAAGTTAGAAGAGAATAAAGTTTTGGAAGTCTCGGGGTGAACTGAAATGTTAGGATTACGGACACATTCCAAACTAGCGTAACTAGTGCCTCGTTTTGTATGTAGGTTTGAAACCTATGAACAAACTTTCTCTGCTGTATAGGAGGAATTTGGGCATTTTGGATGGCTTTCTTTGGGATTTGAACTGTTTGTTCCTGCTGCAGAAAATACTTTTTAAAACCTTTAAAAAGCATTCTCTACGTATTTTTAAGCAAAAACACTGACTGTTCTCCTCAATCCCTTCAGGTTTACATTCAGACCTATCTAATTTGCCTGGCACAAACAGCAGCAAATTTAGTAAATTTATAAATGCTTTTGTACTTATTTACAGTGACTTTGTGCTTGAATTGTAACTATGCAAATTGTCTTTTGTATATCCTGGTTTAAAAAAGGTAAATGTTTTCCCTGTTAACAGTTTGAAACGTGTTAATTTACCTGTCAGCACTTAAATGAGGGGTTAATATAAGTTAAGGACCAAGGTTCTTAAAGGACTTCTGCGGAATGAAAACTTGGTCATGTAAAACTGGATTCTTGCTCTTGCTGAAGTACCCATTGGCTCAACTGGATTATCTGAGGTATGGGGGATTAACTCAAAGCAAGGATGGAACAAATTAACTGGATTGATCTGGTAACATTACTTATTACGTGTTCTACTTTTCTTTCCTTCCTGAGCTAAATATGTCTATATTTCAACTACATTAGAAATATTTTTGGTTAAAATTCTGCTTCTCCAAAGATATAAAAATATGCAATCACCATTACTTTAAAAGGCTATCTTGCTTTGACATTTTGGGTGTGGGTGGTGAGGGGATCATGCCAAATATTAGGGATTTTTCTCATGGATTTGTAGTTTAAAACACTAATGTGTTCCAAATTGATTGTATTTCAGCATCCATAGCTACTTGTCTTTCTGTTCCAGTTTGCACCATTTTTAAATCTTCACTTGGTATGGGGGTGGAATGTAAATTACACTGATAATTTTAAAAATGTGAAAAGCTGTTGTATTTCTCATAACATACACATGTATGGACAAACAGATAATTCTGAACAATTTCTGTTTAAGGAAATTTTTTTAAACAATGCAAAAATTGACTGCAGTTACAGTGTATAAAGGCCTATCATGGTAGTTTATTATATATATTACTTGTAAATAACAACTTATTTTTGTCTGTTACTTCAAAAATGTTCTGTGGTTTTTTGTTCATAAATACATTCAGTTAAATGCCTTGATTTGAGAGAAGATACTTATGTATCATAATAATACATAAATTGAATGAATGTTACATGAATTTCAGTATCTAAATCATCTTGTTTTTGACAAAATAAGCAGTTAAGATAACTACTCTTTATATTACATCAAGATAGATAAAAATTGAGAACCTAGGGGAAGAGAGTGTATTGAATCATAATTCTTTTGAAATAAATGTTGTGTCAACAGTGAAACATTAGGTAAGGGGAAAAGAAAACAGGCTTCCTTGCTTATCTCAAGGAGTATCTCCTATAGCATAGTCTCCTGCATAGTGGTGAAGTGGTGCTGAGCAGTTGCTGTGTGAGGTTTTGGAAGGAGTGATTGGGTTAAAGAAGTAAAAATTGACATTGGCATGGAAGGATGGAAGGAACTGTAGCACTTGTGGGAAAGGAGTGGTGACTTGGCCCTCATTTTCCATAGTTCTCTTCTGCAAGGATCAGAAGTAGCTATGTGCCTCTTCAGGACAACTAACAACTACATGAATAGTGTTCTTGGAGTTACAATCATTTGGAAGCAACAGCCTTAATGTTGCTTTTGTTTTGGGGTTTTTTGGGGTTTGGTTTGGGTTTTTTTAACATATATTTTTAACATCAGTCTCTGGACTGGAAAGCAGAAATTAATGATAGGAAAGGAAGTATCCATTCTCATACTGAATTTTTACTCTGTGTGCTCCTGAAATTATTGTGGCTACTGTAACTACCTTCCCTTTATGGCAAGGTACTGGCACCATTGTAGAGAAGTGGGAAGGAGAGGGGATACTTCAGAAATTGTTGCTGTGGGAGATAGCACTCTTTAATTTTCATCTTTTATTTCCAAGATGTGCATACCTAGCTGCCTGACTGGGTAAGGGGGTTGTTTTTTTCTCTTTTGGTCACAAATTTGGAGGTTCTTTCCTTCTTTCTTTTTCTTTTTTTTTCCCTTTAAGAAAATAGTATGGCAGTGGTAGTTGAAGTTATTTCTTGGAGAGCAGCTTAATAATTGCTTATTAAGCTTTTTAATATTGCTTATAAAGCTTTTTCCTTCAGCAGATTTTGCCTTTTTGGTGAAGTGTGAACATGTTAAATGCATTACTTGAAATACTTAAGTTCTTTGGATCAGGTCTACTAAAGGTTAACAGACTCTGTGTACAACATCAGACAGTAAAGCCTTACAGTACTTCTGCTCTTGTTCTACATGTCTTCAGCACATGAGGGTGGTTTTCAAAGTAAAACCACCTTTGGAGTGTTTGTAGCCCCTTCACCCAGGGCTGAGCTGAAAAGTGACATCTGAAGCACTTGGTAAAGCCTAGAGAGGAGACTGAACCTGCACAGGAAACCACCTTTGGTGCTCCCTTCCTTTTTGGGCATATAAGTAGTAAAGGAAGGTTAAGTTTGCCTTTTTGTGACTAATGCAGGTCTGTAGCGAAAAGGGGATTGTTCCTCCCCTTCCAGGGAGAGAACCCAAGCACCCCATGGAGGAGCAGGCCTTTCTGCTGTGGAGGTGCTGTGGAGGCCAAGGAATGGTGCTGCCAGTTGTGCCCTCCGGTCTTTTGGCCTAGGAGGGGGAAGCAAGAGAGACCACAGGAAGACGGACTGACGAAAATGCACAGTGGTTGTAAAAGTGTTAACTGAAATACAACAGAAATAGAGTTCAGAAGCAGCCTCTCAGGAGGTAAGTTTATGGGTGGCTGGCATGCTAAAACCAAGCAGTTAAATATGTGTGGTATGTACGCTTTCCATGTATGACCCTTGTGCAATGCCCTGCCGGGCCCGTGGGTGGAGGCATTAGCCATGTGCCCCCTGGGGCAGAGCCAGCCAGCCCCGATGGTGGCAGCGGGGCTCGGGCATCTGTGGGTGTGGGATGGGGCTGGGTTTGCCTTCCCTGGGGACTGGGAGTGTCCACAGGCGCTGCCCTGGGGACGTGGCCCTGCGGCGCTGAGCCCAGCGGGCTGCGGCGCCCTTCCAGCCCGCGCCGCCGCTGGCTCGGGGCTCGTTCCCGCTGGATGAGAGGCTGAGGGAGCGGCGCCAGGAGCCCGGTCCTGCGGCTGTGGAGCCCTCGCTGCCGCCTCGCACACGGCCCCGTTCGCCTCCCCGCGGGCACAGCGGCGCCTCGCAGCGAGCAGCGCCGGGGCCCGAGCCCCGCGGTGGGGAGGGCGGCCCCGGCCCCGCGGTGCCCATCGCCAGTGCCCATCGCCAGTGCCCATCACCAGTGCCCATCGCCAGTGCCCTGCTGCCGCTCCAGCAGTGCTTAGGAGGGGGCATGGGAAGCCCGGAGAATACTTTGGTGGAGGAGTCTGTGAGGTCTGTGAGGAAGGGGTGCTGACGGCAGGAGCCTGAAGCCAGATGGGAGGTGATGGGTATCCACGCCAAGTCACAAATGGGGTTAGCTGGCTGTGGGGACGCTGGTGAACACGGTCACCCTGGTAGTGGGACTAGTCAGGCTTTATTTTTTGAAGCTTAGGTGATGACTGTTCAGTGCACAGTGAGCTGGGCCCATAGCTAGTTGTGTTTGGTGTTCTGTGTTTCTAGGCCAGGGAACACAGGGTCCAGGAAAATACAGTGAATCTCTGTGTGTGTTTCTTTAATCCCTTCTTGCTGAAGATTTGTGCAGGAGTAATCCTAAGGAAAGCAGGAAAAAATAAAATCCGTATTATAAATTCTGTTGCAATTTGTGCTTATAATTTGTTACTTCAGGCACTAAACACATCCCAGCCCACAGCATACAGTTCTCAGGCCACAGGGTTTACCTTGCTGCCACACTGACATTGTGCTGGAAACCAGTTACTCCTCTCTCGGTTTGCTGATCTGTTTGTCCTCCTGAAGCCACTTCTGTGAACTCCTGCCGGGGATCTTCCATATGCTATGAGCTTTGATTCCTCATCAGCTCAGTAATCCTGTGTCCTATCCTTTACCAGGTAGCTAAACCTTACTGTTGAAGATTTGAATGGCGTTTCATACTGGTCATCTACAGAGAGGACAAAGGGCACTTTGCAGAAGAAAATCTGTAAGACAGTAAAACAGATGCATATATACAAAATGCTGTATTTTGGCCTTAGTAATTCTTCTGAATTTTGCAAAACAGTGCTTCATGGTATGGGACTCTACGCTTTAAAAAAAAAAAAAAAAGCAGATACGTGGGTAATACACAATGAAAACAGCACTGAAGATCATGGTCAGCCTCCAAAACAGTTTTGTAATTGCAAAAGTTTTGTCTATGGGAATCAAAATTGATCTTCTGTGTACATGGATGGAAATAAGTGCTTGTGAGATCAGCATCTTAAGTGGGTGCTACAGGAGGTAACAGCAGAGTAGGAGAGATTTTAAAGAAGAGATGTTTCCCAGTTTCACACTTTTAACAGCTATGACAGACTTATCAAATAAGGGAAATAAAATTTTAAGTCTTACTTTTGATAGGCTGATTATACCTATAAAATAAAGAGGGAAGGTTAAATTAAATGCAAGCTTTAAGTTCATGGTTTAGGGAATTAGAAGAGTGAAATAATTCAATGAGGGGGAAAAACAAAAAAGCAAACAAAAAAACCCAGACCATTCCTCAGAAATTCAGTCTAGGAATGGAGTATGCTCCAGCCATAAAATCCTTAAAGAACTGCATAGTTTTTAAAAAATAGACTATTTAGTGTGGATTTGCTAATATATACCAATAGTACTAGTAGTAGTAGAAGTTCTAACAATTTTTTCACAGTTTATACCCACAGTTTGAGAAAGAGTGCAAAGATCTTGGAAGATGGATCCTGAAATACAGAAAATGAGAGAAGTTGCCCTTGTTTACCTTGACAGAAGTGGTGGTCTTCAGAAATTTGTGCAGGATTGCAAAAGATATAATGGTATTACTCAATACATAGTCTGTTAAATTGATACATAATATTACACAAGTCTCTGTTATTTTAAGATGCTTTTTGCTCCTGCAGATTCAAAGCAAAGTTATGCTGTTTATCGTTTCATTATTTCAATAAATCCTTCTGACATTGCTGAATTGGATGCAATTCTTGGAAACTATATTCTTCATAATCCCCTACAAGCTGCACAGATTTTTCAGTCAGTAAGTGTACATTTATAGAAGAGTAGAAAAAAGTATGGCTTCTATATTTTAACAAGACTTCCTTTCTAAAATGAAGTTATTTTTCTGTCATAGGTATGCTTCATAGCTATTAAGACATTATCATTAATTGAACAATTGCAGACAGAGGCCCAGGTGAGTCTGCATTCTCCATTTAGATCTTACATCTTCTAAGTATAGTGAAGTATTAACAAATATTTTTGTATTAAGTTTTCATTTTCCTTTGGCTGTAGTATTATTTCTAATTAAAAATAGCTGGAAGTTCCACCCAGCCATATTGCAAGAATTTTGAGCGAATATGAATATGAAAACTAATTACTCTCCCCGTGTTTCTGAAAATGCTTTTTAATATTTAGATGTCATGTTGTGTGTTTTTCTGTGGCAAGTAAAGCAGTTTTAAATAAAAATATTTTTTATTGTATTAATGCAGTTGTGTCTCTTGCTAGATCAGTATATTGCTGAAGCCAACGCATTTGCCACCTTTACCAAGTTATGTTCTGAGTCTTTCTGCATATCCCTTTAATTACACATCTCAAAGATTTTACATGTCTGAAGGGATAGTGATTGCAATGGGAACCGTAACAAAATACACACAAGGAGCAAGATTTCTTTGTACTGAGGAAACCTGTCCATTCTCTGAAGGTAGTAAAAAAATAAATAAAAATCAGTAATACTTCAAAAGCTTTTTAATAAATTTGGTAACAAGAGATTAAAAGCCTAACATAAAAAAGGTATTTTCCTATATAGTTTTATTATGCATACATTTTTGGAATAAGCACAGTAGGGTTTTTATTCATTGAAAGCAGTGGACCTTGCTCAGCATTATTAAATGTTTTCGGAGCACAGCTATGCCAGCAATCCCTTTTCCTAATGCTGAAGATAGTTTATGGGAAAAGATATGTTGCCAAAATATTTCAGAGTAAAAGAGCTAAACTAGTAAAATACCTTTTCCCTTGGAAACTGTGTTTCTGATTACATAAAAATACCACAGAACAACATGCTTAAGTGGCTGGCAAAGGCTTCAAGCACAGAACAAGTTTGCTTTAACGAGTAGCTGACCTTCTGTGGAACTACTTCTTGGAGTAATACTGCTGAACTGCTCGTACTGAACTGCTCGTGGGGTGAGGCCTTAAGTGTTTTTAAGGCTGTTTCATTCGATTCCTCCTGCAACACAGACCATACAGTTCTAAAAGAGATGATAAATCCCAAAGTTTGGAGGCTGCAGCATAAATCATACAGATATCTTTACGAGGGCACGTACCTCCATATCGCATGCCATTCCCACGCGAGGCAGTAGCCGCAGTGGCTCGCTCCTCAGGAAGCCTGGCCAACCCGTTCCGCTTGGGAATGTGCAGTAGGAAATTCTGCCATCTCGTGGTCACGCCACAACAAATTACATGCCTCCTTTTAGTGGAGGCTCATCTGAAGAAACATACGATAATTATGGAATTTCACTGTCCAGTATTTTAATCGCTTCTGTTCTTGATGAGAAATTTAAAATTAAAGCTCTGCCTTCTAAATGTTTGGTAAATTATTACTTCTTTTTTAGGGTTTAGGTACATCAGAGTGCATTGTCCTGGAGCTACAGAGTCTGCCACAGTTAGGACTGATTTTGTGTGTAGCTTGTGTTCCTCACCACTGCAGGAAGACATGAAATTTAGAGTACTTGGTGGTAGGATTTATGTGATCTTATTTTCAGATCTGGTACTTTCCTATTTCTATTACACAATAAGTAAACAAAATAGTTAAGTGGGAAAAGCCCCGGAATAAACCAGTCATTTTAAAAAAATGTTTTCAAGAGAAGTAACTTTTTTCTCTGCTTTTGTTTTGAAAGATAAACAAATAGTTGAAATGATCGATGCTAAAGTTCTGAATGCTTTAAAAGGATACTCCAATGATAAATCACATTTTAGGATTCAGCCATTTACAGTTTTCTTGAGAGGTAAGCTGAATTTTAGAGTTTTGTCAAAAATGTTTTATAATCAAACTGTAATAATCCCTTGCATTTTACTTGCTGTTCCATTTCTTTGGATAGAATGGTGGAAGTAATAATTTACATTGCAGTTCTTTATGTATTCCTCCCCTTAATTTTATTAAAATTCAGTAGGTGACAAAACAGTATGCACAGGTGATTGCAGAGTGCACACAGCAAAACTCTCATGTTCACTTTTGTGCTTCCATTTAAAAAGAAAATCTCCCAGCCAGCTCAGCAGTGTTACGTTCTGTCACTTGTTTGTTCCTCCTTTCTATTTCCTTTGGTCATGCTGTTCTGTACTAACTTCATGCATATTTAACATCCTTCTACTATCACCTACCTACTACTAGAAAAACAATCTATGGGTAAGATTCGGTGAGCTGCATGCATTAAATTTCCAGTGGTTTCAGTGATCAGTTAGGCTAGACAGTGTCTCACAGGCTGAGATGTTGGTTCCTATTTCCAAAAAAATAAATGGATTTTTTTTTTTAAAAGATGCACAGAAATACTAAGGTTCACAAAGCTATTTGTGTGTCTTTTTGGAATCTGTGTAATCTGTATCTCCTTTTTATCGTGTCGGGTTTTTTTCTGTGACGTTTTATGGAACAGTAACCGAAAATGGTGTTGCCAGAAATTTACAAGTAGAAACACATACTTGCAAACAACTGTCCCTTTCCTTTTTGATGCAGAACTAAATGCATCGTCCATTTTCTTTATCAGGAAACTATTTTTCCTCACCCCGTGTGCCTTTCTTACCTTTTGCACTAATTAATTAGAATCGTACATTTCATTTTATTCTAGTCTGTTATGGTCAATCTGGCATCCAGCCGTTGTTTTCTGCTGATGTTGAATCATAACATCAAACGTTCAGACTGTGAAGAAGTTTTCTGACTATGTCTTTAAAATTATTTTTATGCCCTAACACATCTGCAGGCCCGTCTCCCCACACTCCTTTTTTTATTTTTATTTATTTCTAGATGAACTGGCCAATAAAATGACAATAGGAAACCACTACAGGATTATAGGAATTCCAGCTTGTGTACAAAATGGCTTACAAGCTACTGCATGTATAGAAGCAAATAGTGTACAGCTCTGTAAACCAAATGGTAAGAAAGTTCCATTAAAAACTGACTGAAAAAAAGTTGCAAAACCTTCTAGAACAAAATCTTGAGAAGTGGTATAGTTTTCCCTAGAGGTCCAGATTACAAAACCATTCAGGGACTTTCCTCTTGCAGCCTGAAATGCGTACTTGCTGTTATTTGATAATATCTGCTTTCGCCCGCTTTCCATGCCTTGGGAAACTACCTAATTATTCGCTGCAGTTCCTCAACTTCTCTTTCCAACTTCTCCTATCCATTGGAAGGTACTTTGAAATCATATAAAATGAGCCTGATATTTGAGTTTGTTATTCCCTTCATATTCCATCAATTTCAGCAGATCGTGTCTGCAACCTTTTTACTTTTTACTACTTTTCAGTAGTACAATTAAGTGTCAGATGTTTACATTCTGAATTTGTGCTTAATACAGAAACCTATTAGTTAAGTTTTGTATCAAGACTAGAATTTCTAGTGATTTGTTCTAATATATCTGCACAGGTCTCTCTTATGTGTTTGTTAACCTCTACTTTGTTTCCATTAGGTCCTTCTTTTCTCAGTGACAATTTTAAGTATCTGCTCTCATTGACTTCAAGTTCATGCTGGAGGTTTACTGCTGTCCTGGCCAACATCTTTGCTTCTCAAGTTGTTCCACCAGGCACTTACAATACTCTTAAACTTGCAATACTGTTGAGTTTAGTGCAGACATGTGAAAAAGAAAATGCAGATTATCTGGATCTGTTGATTGTGACAAGTGACACACTAGTAATTGATAGGTAAAGAGATTCCTTATTTTTCACACAAGTTAGAATTTAAAATTAGTATTTTTAAAGACAATAGCATCAGTCTTACATGAAAAGCTAGAGACTATATATAAAAAGAAATGCAAGGCTCCAACTTAGTAAAAATAACAATTTTTTTCCCTGAGACATTTTTATTTCTTTCAAGTGATAAATCTAGATCAGAACTTTACTAATAATAAACCCTCTTACCATTCTCATAATGATAGCAAGAAGAATTTAGCCCTAGCACTGTTCAGCAGAGCTCAAACAAAACATTCTTCTAAAATCAAAACTGAAGACTGTCCCAGGAGCTGGTGATGATAAAAACAAAGGGCTAAACTTTTCAAATCTTGTGTCACTTGAAGCCTTTTCATCACTGGTTCCCAGCCATCAGCATTTTCAGTTAATAAGCAGGGTGTAAATCGTTACTTCATTTGTATCTCTCTTTTTCATAATAACTGTACTGAAAAGGTATCAGAAGTCATGCACATCTTTACATGTTCACCATAAATCCACTTATTGTTGCCTTTAACTAAACAATTTTCTATATTTTCCCATTTTATGTATTTACCTCTTAGTACAACTATAAACTGTTAACACAATTTAATATACACTGCAGAAAAGTACAATATGTTCAGCTTTAAAATTACATTACCTTAAAACTGCTTTCTCCTTCCCAAGATCAAAATAGGGCTTTTATTTTTGAAAAGGATTTTTGAAAGTGACACGAATTTTATTTTCATTTGGAACTTCTTTTAAAAATTCACTAATATTTTATGCTGTGGGAAAAAAATACTTAGACCATTTCAAAATTTAGCTGTAGAAATAAGTTCAGATTTAAAAAGTGTGGGCTGCAAGATTTTTTTTTCTCCCAGGTTTAGAGTAAGATTTCATAGGAGAAGCAGGAGCTCAGAGTGTTTTAAGAATCAAAACATCTGGTTAATATTAAAACAGCTGCACACTGCAAATCTTGATCAGTATTGTAATCTGTATTGTCTTGCATGTGCACAGTATTTTACTGTCAGCAGCCTGTCAAAGTAGGCATTGCCTACATCATATTTCTCTTGGTGTGATACCCTATTCACTAATACTTACCAATTTTACTCCATCATTTTCTCCCAGGTATTAACAGTAGGATAAACCATGCTCTGACATCTTAAAATCATTAGAAACCTTTGATTGCAGAACCAGACAATTTGCAAACATCTCTGTGCCAAGGAACATAGTACAGGGGATGAAACAGATATTCTATACCTTGTTTCTCCGAAAAGAATTGGGGAGGTGGGGTTGTAAGCCAAGAAGGCAGAGCTTAGAAGTTCCAGCCTTTTCATTTTTCCCAGATGGCCAGGATTACTAATCTTCTAACCTTTTAAATCACTAGAAAAATATCTCTAGAAGAGAAAGAGGAGTTAACAATATGGGGTTATTATGAGACTTCTTTGATTTCCTAGAAATCACTTATATTGCAAACCGTGGTTTGCCTCACGTTTAATCCGTAAGAAATACCATCCTGTTGGCAGCTGTTGGAGAGAAGGCTTGGAGCTCTACCTTTGCATTCGAAGTTAAATATTTAGTTTTGACACTGGTTTCATGTTAAGGGTGTTTTTTTTCCTGTTGTTGTTTCTAAGTGAGCCTTAATACTTTATAATGGTATTTATACATATTAAGTATGGTATTTTTTTAAAAGCGAACAATGATTTAACAACTTAAAACTGACAGAATTATTTAATCCTCCAGGCTTCTGAATTACAGCTTATGCCTTCTCCCTCGTGGCATACGACACCCACCTTCCAGTGAAATTTTTCCTTCTGTGTCCAAAGATAAACATGGAACTGGAAGTGCCAGTATTCAAGCCTGCAGCGCTGTGCTGGCGAAGGGTGGCATCTGTTACATAGGAGACTTATCTTCATATAAAAAGGATAAACTTGAACTTCTACAGTCTGGTAATCTCCCACCTCCAAACAGATGAGGGGAGAGAACAAAACAAATGCACGAATTCACAGCTGGGTTTGATCCCCAGCTTACAGCCCTCAAATGCTTCAAAAATCTGTAAGGTGTTTTAATGAGTCTGTGTAAGAAGTAAGGACAAAAAAGCCAAGGTCCTGTAAACTTGTATTTGCTGCACTACCAAGATCCATTAGCCATGGCAACTCAGTGAAATGAGGGCAACGAGGATGGTGAGGGTCCTGAGGGGAAGCCGTGTGAAGAGCGGCTGAGATGACTGGTCTGTTCAGCCTGGAGGAGACTGAGGGAAGACCTCAGGGCAGTCTTCAACTTCCTTCTGAGGGGAAAAGGGGAGCAGGCACTGATCTCTTCTCTGTGGTGACCAGTACAGGACCCAAGGGAATGGCCTGAGTTGTGTCAGGGGAGGTTTAGGTTGGATATTAGAGAAAGCTTTTCACCCAGAGGGTGGTTGGGCACTGGAACAGGTTCCCAGGGAAGTGGTCACAGCACCAAGCCTGACAGAGTTCACAAAGCATTTGGATGCTATTCTCAGGCAGGTGGTGTGACTCTTGAGGATGGTCCTGGGCAGGGCCATGAGTTGGACTGGATGATCCCTGTCGGTCTGTTCCAAGTCTCGGTCTGTTCCAAGTCTCGGTCCATTCCAACTCAGCAAATTCTGTGAAATCGTAATCATGACTGATAATCGTTTCAGATAATGTGTGTGGTACTACGATTTATAGTCCAGCTCAATCTATCATGTAAGTGATGGGTTTTGTCTTATCCTAGTGCTAGAGAGCAGAACAACAACAGTATTTATTCCTGGGAAGAAGTACGGAGAAGAAGCTGACCAACAAGTTACTATTTCACTTCAGACCAATTTTTGGTCTTTTGTGGATATGGATTCTTCCTCAAAGAAACATATACAAAAGGAAAACTTTTTAATTGGACAAATGGTAAAGCACATGCCTTGTTATGACACGAATTGTATTACAGCTGTTATTTGTGTTTATAATTATTTCAATCGATAAAATAATGAAAAAATTAAACTTAGTATTTCCAAAAAAGTCACAACTTAAGTGACTTTAAATCAAGTATCTTCTAAAATGAGGTAGCTTTCCCAATAGTAGGAATCAGTGAAACAAAATTTTACTAAGTGTTATAGGTAATCCATTGGATAATCTTGCAGTATAATGGATATTGAATATTTTAGATAGAAAACACTCTGATGTTTCTACAAGTCAAAAGCCCAAAATAAAGTAATTGTTTTTGTTCTCTGGGTCTTCTCTTTAGGACGTGAGTTTGATTCCAGCTAACCTTGTAGATGTTTTTGGGCTCTTGATATACAATGAGTTTCCTTCCTGTCGACTATCTTCTCCTCTTATACACCACATCTTGACAAAAGCCATTAATCCTGAGGCCATGCTGTACAAAGTCTCACAGCAGTTCAGAACACAGGATTACGAGGAGGTAACAGATTGTACACAATAATTTAGACATGCATTACATTTGGGAATATCAGACTGGTTTGGGCAACAGAGCGTTCTCTCTGCACACTCTGGTTACTTATTTTTGATACTCACTTTCTGTCCTTTCCCCCTCCCCTATTCCCACTAGCACTAATAGGATCATCAATAGAAGAAACTCCAGTGCTTTAAAAGGGTTATTACTAGGTTAACATTCATATGAGAACAGATCTCCTATGCCTATTTTTGACCAGAAAAGTTTATAGTCAGTAATATTCCATTCTAAATAAACTGTCAGTATCTCTAGTATAATTAAGACATGATTCCCTCAAAGTGTTCGAGGCCAGGTTTTTCAGCAGTCAGATGGTGATAGCTGCCTCTGTTTTCTACCAATAGTTTTTATAATACTGTCCAGCCTATATTACTATGCCGCTGGTATGTTAAAAGGTGTGAAAAAATATTCTTTCTTTTTTTTATATAGTTAAATATTTTCACTGTATACCCTCTCTCTAGTTTATTTTGTTTGCTAAGAATCTTCATGTTGAACTGAGTTCAGAAGCAGAGAACCTCATTCAGGGCTACTATCTTGCAAGTCGCAGGGTGAGAAGAGATTCCATTCATGGATCAACATTATCAGCATCTGCACTAAAAATTCTGTGAGTCCTAGCTTTTCACAGTAAGGGAAACACTCCTGTGTCTCAAAGAGAAATTGCACTAATCTGGTCAAGGCTTGTTTAATAAAAATCTAGATAAGACATGTTTTGAAAAGTTCAAGCACAAAAGAATTTTATTTATTGATAATGAATGCCATTTCTCTTATATAGTAATGCTGCCAAAAGAAACCCAAGTTCAAAGAACTTTTCCAGGCAAAAAATAAACCAGTGATTTACAAAACAAGTATCATTATTAAAGCTATCTAGAAAAACAAAACTGGGATTTAAATATCCACAGCTTTATTATGAGAGCAAAACAAGTATAAACAATAGATAATATGCCAACTTCTACTGCTTTCATAGCATAATATGTCTTTTGTCAGTGGTAAGTATAACTGCACAGCTGAAGTATGAAAATGCCTCAGTGTTAACTTTTGATTTACAAAGTGCTTGAAACAGGGCAATACACATTGCATTCAGTTCTGCATTATTTTTTATTTCTGACATGCTTATGTTGATCTTTTAGGATTTCACTGTCTAAGGCTCATACCAAGCTAAGTTTAAGACAGACGGTACTTGAGGAAGATGCTTTGATTGCCATCTTATTACTTGAGTCATCTCTTACCCTAAAACACGGTAAATAATGCAACTCGGGCTTTGGGCTATTCACGTTTGTTAGTTTGAAAAAAGTTTGTATCGACTGCAGTAACAGGTCATTTCAAATCAAAACCCAGAGATTCCACTGCCGAAGACTGGTATTGGAAAAGTCTGTCAGCTGGCTTCCCTGCTGAGCCTCAGTGCTCCACACAATTAGGCCACAGGGCAGCACCACGTCTGTCCTTCATGCTGGCTGCTTTGAGGCATTGCTACTCTAACACTGGTCAAGGTTAAACTAAGGACAGATTTCCCTCCTGGGGAAAGCTGAAAACAAGAGTTGGGATTTTTTTTGTTTATCAAGCATCACAGTCACATTTGTTCACAGAGATCTAGAAACAAGGTAAGAATTATGATCTAACACTTAAAATGGATAACAGAGAAGACTGCATTACTATGTAATCTGTGTCACAGTTTTTTCCTCTCGAAGTGCTTTCAGCCTAAGTCTTGATTTCTTCTTTACTTAGGCACATCTGCATTATGTGTAGCACCAAATTCTGTATTTCCATTTGACCTCAGTGATGAAAACTCCCTGCAAGAGAGAGATATTTACCTCATGCAGTGTCACCATCAACTCCTGAAGTTTATTGCTGCATATGGTCCAGGAATTCACATCACCACTAATGAAGAGTAAACACTCCTCTCTATGGAGTAAAGCCTGAAGCTTTGGCTTTTTAAGAGACTGTTTTATTGAGTTAGAAATACAAAACCACTAAAAACTTATCAGTTGTCTAAGACAGTTGTGTGCTGTTTTATAAGGAATAAAGCATATCCGACAGGATTTGAATTCCTAATTTTTTGACAATGTTCTTTGAAGGCAAGGAGGGATGTCTTCAGCCTGGGAGGCCGTGTCTCCAGAATACAGCCACAGTTAGAACCTCTCTTCCTGGTTACAAATGTTCATTCACTGTTAAATGAGGACTAAGCAGAGTTTTTAGTAGGACAAGTAATCTAATGTTGCCTTTCAACTACATGAATTCAACTGCAGTTTTTCTTGTTGCTTCTTTTTAATTTATCACCCAGAGGGTTAAGTAGTTTTAAGTACATTAAAACGCTTCCTAGTTTAAGCCAACTTTCATTACTCATGCTGTATAAATAAATTTTGAAATGTATAAAAGTATCACCATCCTGCTTCATGTTTTGTGTCTTTTTTTACATTACAGCAACATAGTATTAGACAAGGATGCCGGTGTGCTTCTGCAACCAAAAAAGACCAAACAACCCCCCAAAACCCAGTGTTTCCACATCATTTTATACAGATTGCAACAGGAGAGTGAAAGGTAATATTAGACAACCTGGTGGGCAGGTAGCTCAATGAGTTCACCCCTACTTCACTGCAAAAACAGGTGTGAAGAATGCTGTGGTAGAAGATGAGGTGCCTGAGGTACAGTATGCTTCCCCAACTATGGGCTTTCCTGTATTTCATCATCCTAGTAAGGATACAGCACTAGACATAATCCTCAGCAAGTTTTACATCCAAGAGATATATGTTAAATAAAAAAGCAGCAGTAAAATTGTACAGATGTCCTGTCAATCTGGACAACCTGAATATTTAAGGCTTCTGTGAATCCTACATAGGATGCCATCCAGTGGTATCACAGTACCACTGCTCCCATATCCTCAACAAAAAATGGAGTCACTGAAAACAGAAATCCAAGATTTTATTCATACCCACTACTAACATTGCAAACACCTTAGCCAAGATAACAAGTTTTACATGTTTAACCCTTCATTTTTAATCCATTTATTTGATATACACTGAAATACTCATACCAAGTTCTAAGGCCTGTTCCCTTTCCAGAGTGACACTCTCACTTGAACTTCATTCCAGGATTATTCAGGCATATTCAGTGAACAGCTATTTCCCTGCAATATTATTGTATCAAGCAGTATGTCTGAGAGGCAGGAAGGGCCATGGAAGCATTTCCAAGGGCATTAGAACTCCACATTCCAGGCTGCTGTTTTCAAGCTAGGAGCAACAATAATTTAAAAAACAAGTTAGTTTCTGTACCCTTAATCCATCTTATACAAAGTTATTACCTTCACTGGCATTTCAGATTCAAAGATACACATCAAAAACCCTTCAGATGGGTAAACGGCAAAGGTTCTCATCATTATGCCAGCAAAATAATAAGACTGAAACAGAATTCCTTTATAAATCACTAGTTTTGAGAAGCCATATTAAGGAATGCATATTCTTCTGAAAAAAACATTCTGCAAAAAACCCAAATATTTTATCCTTACCTCTCCTCAGTCTCTCCCATGACCTCTTAAAGGAAAAATGGGAAGACTAGCGGTGGGCTCTACTGTTGGCTCTGAGTGCATACACAAGGCTGGAAGACAGCGGAGATGGCCATCTGATGTCACCTTTAGAAGAATACATAACATCAGAAATGATGGGTGCAAATCAAACTGTAAAAATCCTACAATTAGCTGGCACATCAGATACAGCACTGCTCATCACAACATTCAGCTGGGTAAACGGCAAAGGGTCATCATCATCATGCCAGCAAGGTCCTGCCCGTGGTAAGACTGGTGTCGCTTTTTCCAGGTATCAAATACAAGGGAATTTTGGTTATGTTTGTCTCAAGGGCTGTGCTTCCATAAACTGAAGCAGAACCTTTGTTTTAACTGCTAAGCACAAAATAAATTCAGTATAGCCAGGAGCAAGAGGAAAAAGCTCTCTTTGGGCACCAAAATCCAGGTCCCTCCCTGTTGTTACATTCAAGCCCCAGATGCCAAGTATATTTCTAGAGGTAAAGTTCACTACCATAGTCACTTATCCCTTTGAAATATATTCCAAGCCTGACATGGGTAAGTGCCAGGGATGGTGATGTGAACACACTTCACTTCAGTCTCTCACTTCCAACTAGCATCTGTTAATTCCTCAAATCAGAACTCATGTTTCTCTCCCCAGTTAAAAACAAGTTTCTCTGATATTATTATAAAACTCTCCTGATTCCTTCAGGATTATTGGATTGCACCTGCTTTGTTCTGGAGAGCAGGTCTTAGAGATTTTATAGCAGTCATAATACCTTTTGTTAGGCTTTCAACCTCAGCCTTACTACATGCAATCATATGTAGTTCTGTTCCATCTGTAACAGAATTTGCAAGCCATTAAACAGCTTCAGAACTCCAGATCTAGAAGCTTCTCTCCACATCTTTAAGTACAGTAAGAAATATTTACTTCTGTAGCTCCAGAATTCATGTGACATCTTTGTTTGCAAGGCAACAGCGTGGCAGAGTCCAGACTGAAGATTCCCAAAGCCAGTAACAAACTCATCTTGAACTTCACTTGCTGCCTAAAACAATGAAAAGCAGATGTTTGATTCAGAGAACTCTACTGCTGAGCCAGTAGGAGAAAGCATTAACATTTCCTTGGGGACAGTAAGCCAGACAAAGAAACACCAACCTCATGCTCCCTTTATAATTACCTGGGGAGAAAAGCACAGAGAGCATCAGATGAGATCAAGGTTAAGCAGAGGCACGACCATTTTCCTAAAGCAAGCTGCAGTGTGAGGAATGACTGATTGCAGGGACAAGTACACTGCTCCTAATGAAGAGCCATGGCTGGGGAGAGGAGAACCTTAGCAGGTTACAGCCTTTAACCTCAGTTTACGTGCCACACTCTGGGGAACTCACTGATGTTTAACCACCAGTTGAGTTGAGGTCAGTACTTGCACTACAGTCCTGGCAGGAGAGCATCACCCCAGAGGCTGCCGAGACCCCTGAGGTCCTGTCCCTGCCAGAACTCACCCCTCTGGATCTGTGCCTACAACTCAAAAAGGGCACGGTCAGGGTCACCATACCACACTTGCCAAATTCCCTAAAGGAAAAAGAAGGTAATTTATCTTTAGAATTAGGACATGCATTTGCTGATGAAAATGATCTGTCAGCAAAACCAAGTGTCTTCAGATGTCAAATCTGTCATTCCTTTCAAGACTCGATGAGCCAAGAGGTAGCTCGAAGTAACCACCACCGCTTTGCCAGGGGAGTGTCCCGCACTAATTAGGTGCATCTCAGTCTCCCATGCCTGCCACACTCCTGGGAAGCCTGTGTGGGTGGAGTGTCAGCATCAGCTGAGCCACCTCAGCACCCAGGCACGGACATGCTCACAGCAGCATGACAGTCACTCCTCTTTGGAGTGATGGCTTTGACTGTTTAAAAAAGCACCAGCAAACCATCCCTGCAATTCTTGAGATTACAGCCATTGCTCTGGCCTGCCAGGACGGGACTTCTCACATTAAACAGTTGGGAGCATTTCTATTTCCTCTGAAAGACTGGAATGTCCAATTCCTCTAAAAAGACCAAGAATCGCTCTGCTTTTCAGACGAGCATGTGCCTGGCCTGCCAAGCCGAGGAACTGCTCCAGGGAGCACGGCAGAGCTCGGGTGGCTCTCACACCAATGTGCAGCGACACAGCACCGTGCGGCTGCCGGGGGGCCGGCACGGGATCACAGAATCATAGGATGTTAAGGGACTGGGATAGACCTTTAAGATCCGCTAGTCCCAACCCCCCTGCCATGGACAGGGACACCTCCCACTAGATCAATTTGCACGAGATCTTATCCAACCTGGCTTTGAACACTGGCAGGGTTGGGGCATCCACAACCACCCTGTTCCAGTGCCTCACCACCCCACAGTAAAGAATTTCCCTCCAGTGCCCAACCTAAATTTCCCCTCTTTCAGTTTGTACCCATTTTTACCCTCTTTCACTCTGCGTTCACCAGACTCGGCGGCCCAGGCTGCCGCTCCCACGCCGGAGGCCGAGGCACGGAGGGGCAGCTCCAAAGCCGTGCACGGCAGCCCCCGCTCCCGGGCGCCCTTCGCCATCACGGGATCGCCGGGAAAGGCGGTTCCCGGCGGGCACGGCCGCCGCAAACGCGGGACGGCTCCCGCCGCATCCATCCATCCACCCATCCATCCATCCATCCATCCGCGCCGAGAGCCGGGCGGGTAGACACGGTCGCTCCGGTGCTCCTCGGCCCCACTCCCCTCTCCCGGGATCCGCGGGCCGCGTGCGAGGGGCGATTCCCGCGGCGGGATCCCCCCAAATCCTCCGCGCGCCGGGGACGGGGCGGGCGGCGCGCGGCGCTTTCCGGCTGCGCGCGCACAGGGAAAGGGAGAGAGCTGGGAGTGGGAGGCGATGCGTGTGGAGCGGGAGCAGTGCGGGACCGCGGGGTATCAGGAAAAACAGGTCCCTGCGCAGCCGGCTCTGCACGGGCAGCGTGGTTGCGTGTGGCCGTGGGAAGTTCGCCTTCCCCGTCCCTCGGAGGGAACAGCCGTGCTGACAGTGACGGAGACCTCTGAGGTTACTCCATGAAAAATGCCGCCTCTTGATAGCAGTGTGTAAACACTGTACAGTTTTGTTCCTAAGGCCATGCATACTTCCAGTGCTAAATGCCAAACTCCTTTATTTCAGCATACGAGGATGTGAACTGTTCCAGGAAGTGTAGTATTAGAACCAAACACGTTTTAAACGAACAGGCTCAGAGGCTCTGGTGTGATCCCTGCTGTGTAAATTGCTGGTAGACAAGAGCTCTCTCACTTGTCGAAGGGAGTAGGTTGCCTCACCTGGTGTCTTGGTTCTGGAAGGAAAGGCATAAAAATTCCGATCTGGAATAATCTTTCTCAGTGAAAAAAAAAAAAAAAAATCCCAACTCCTAAATATAGGGAGTTGTCAGGTGAAAACCTGCTGTTATAATTGTGCATATTCTTACTGGCTTTTAATAAGTCTGAACGCTGGTAAAGTCGTATGGATGTGACCACAATTTCTGCAAATGTTGTGGGTACAATGTAGCTACAGCGTTTGCTGCTCCGACCCTCTGGCTGTCTTCTGAGCATTGTAAATACTTTGCTGTGAATACTGCAGGAGTGCTGGAGAGCTCCAGATTTTACCATATGTTTTTAGTGAAAGTTGTTTTGGCTAGTATTTTTGTTTTCGTTTTCTTTCCTAGGTGTCATTTTAAAATTGAAGCTGAAGTCTTCAGAAAGAAGACAGCATCTATAAATTCAGAATATTATCATGTACAATCAGAAACTGATACAGATCTTGCAACTAGGTGATAAGGGTCAGAGTAAAGATCTATTCTCTGTGCCATCCATTCTTAACTTCCCATGTTTTTGACCCTTACTATTGTCTTTTTTCCATGCTTAAAAAATCACAGGTCAGAAAAGACTGAGTCCAACCTTTGACCGATCACCACCTTGTCAGCTAGACCATGGCACTGTCCAGTATTTTCTTGAACACCTCCAGGAATGGTGACTCCACCACTTCCCTGGGCAGCCCGTTCCAACACTTAACAACCTTCCTGTGAAGAAATTCTTCCTGATGTCCAACCTGAACCTCTACTTCATGGATAAGCAGTCAGAATCTTTCAATTACATTTAAAGTAAGAAACCTTTAAACCCAGGGAGCTGTCTTTTTTTTTTTCCCTTTCTTGAATTCTGTCCCTTCCAGGTGTATTATTTAAGAGCCTGTGAAGTAGCCAGCACCTCTGGGCTAAGTAAGATGAATCATGCAGCTGATGAAAAGCATCATCCCTCTTTGTGTTCTCCCCACACCATTCTATTATGCATGATTCATCCACATCTTGTTTTTACTATCAGTTGGTTGCTGCACAGAGCAGCTCAGGTTGGACATGAAATGCTGGCTGAGGTTTCACTTGCCCTTCTTTCCCTGGCCTGATGCATTCCTTTACATCTCAGTGACAAAACTGGTCTGAATTCTCTGTGCTTCTGAAGCACAATCTGTGTCTTACACCCTCATTTTGTGCTGGGTGTAATCCTCCTGGAATCTCTCACTGTCCTGTCACGCCTTCATCTGAAATAAATATCACCCCCTTTGCCTCTCCTTCACATCTCCCTGTTAATAACTCCAAGTACAAACAACTGTCCCACTAACAAGAGGTTGTGCTAACCCACATTTTACTGCTATGGAAAGTATGTACAGTTCTTGAAAGTCAGACATTACTTTATGAGCAGATTCTTGTGTATGCAAAACTGCCCTTTTGTAATTTATTTGTTCACAAAATGCTGTACCTTTTGTATTGCATGTTGCTCTGGCTATGTAATAATCATCTAATAAACCACTTACAATTGTAAATAATATACCTAAAATAAATATATATATATTAAGTGTATTTAAAATATTTCAAGTCTGTTTACTATTTAAAAGAACGATCCTGTTAAAAGCTCAGAATGCTGCAGGGGTGCTGAAGAGCTCCAGACTTTTACCATACTTTTTTTATGAAAGCTGGTCTGGCTAGTATTTTTGTTTTCCTAAATGTCATTTTTAAATTTAAACTGTGAAGCCCTCAGAAAGAAGACAGCATCTATAAACGTGGAATATTACTATTAAAAACTATCACTCCTGTACAGTGAGAAACTGGATACAGATTTTGGAACTGAGAAAATACATAACGTTCATTGAATAGTATTTAATAGAACGTTTACTTCAGCAATAACAAACCATATGAGAAGTACAGTGTTTTACAGAACAGATACATCAGATGACATATGTGCACTTAGTTTCAACTTTTCTTGCCTAAATATAGAAGATGCTTAAGTGAACAAGCGTGCTATGAACAAGCCAAGGCTTTGGGCTCGATTGCATCACCCACTGAAAGCCGTGATAAATGAGCCTTGGTATTGTGAGCAGACCTGTGGCTGTGCCAGGGTAACAAACACACGTTAAACCCCATAACATGCAGCACAGTCCTACGGATGGATACAAGCAGTGCCCAACACACAGCTGTCACACACAGTGCTCCGTGTGCAACACAGGTTTCATCACATTTTTACGTGAGGTGAACGTGCATCCACATTTCCAGCAACAGCTACACAGATGTAGGACTATCTGAAGGGTAAAGCTCTGACCTGATGGCTGCAGTCAGGGGGATTTCTGCCACCGGCTTTAAGCAGTGGAGAAAGTGCACGTGGGATTGCAATTTCTGTTTCTAGACTTGCCCTTTGCCTGTCACCCAAGCCTGTATCGCTCTCTACTTGGTCAGTACCACATTCCTCCTTCTCTCCTGTTTTCCTCAGCACTTGTCCCAGAGGGGACAAGGATACCTACTCCGCTGGCAGCTCTACCTTTGGGCTCCTGCTCGTGTCAGTGGCTGTGGTCGCTGCCTCCCGATCCCCTCATTCAGATCCCAGTAACATCCTCTTATAGAAATGCATCACATTAACTTAATGAGGTATTAATTACATTTAAGAATCAATTCATTCTCCTCCACAAACAGTATTTCAGGAATCATAGTTTGTCTGTAGATATTATTTTTTAACTTAAATATATATATATAAGGTGTAATAAATAACAATTTTTTTCAGAAGCAAGAAGGGAGATTAGATTTGTGAAGTTGTTGATGTTTCCCCATGGTTTGCGCTGTCTCCTTGTGCCGAGTGAGTCAGAAACTGTCCCGTGGCTCCAATGTACAACCTGGAACGCATGGGCCACTTCTGTAAAGAGAGGAGACAAGCACAGGGCTGAGATACCTGGGAGCTTTGCACTCTGCAGTTCTCAGCAAAGCTTTAAGCGTTGATGGAATCACAGTATGAGAACATAGGAAGCTGTTGCTACCACCAGACAGTCCCCATTTTGTCATTTGTTGGAAAATGTTAGGAGCTTGGTAAGGAAGCCTCAGCCTGGATATTTGCTTTGGCAAGGCACAGCTCACAGCCGTGACCCAGCAGGCAGGAGCAGGCCATGCTGGTCAGACATCCTAGCACAGTTTGTGTTGTAGATGTTCTGTCAGAGCAAAACAAAGCGTTCCTTTTCAAGGCACCAGGGATGCTACAGGGATACACCTGCACCTTCAGGGATTGCAGCCCTGTGTGCACACCCATCTGTGCCAACTCCCACAACACTGACCACAGCACAGGGGCTGCTAAAAAGTGTGTGTTAAATGGAATTTAATGTAGTTACTCCTTGGCAACACCGGCAGCTTCTTGTTCTTGTCAGCTCCAACGATTTCAGATGAGACAATTAATCTTTCCACTCACTGCCTTTTGGAATCATCAGTTACCCTGGTGTTAAACACTTACTCTGACATCTTGATTTTCTTGAACCCAGCAAATTTTTTACTGCAAACAACCCCCCACCTCTGGGTAAGAGACATTTAATACTGCAGTTACATCTCAGCTCTTTTATTTAAAGACTAAAGCAGCAGCATATTCTGACTTGGAAAGACTGTGCGATCTCATTTAGTAATTTTGTTTCAAGTGTGATGTTATGGGTTTGTCACCAGTGAGACAGCTGAGTTTAGTCATTAATTATATTTTTCATTTGGTGTACACACAGCTGTACTTGAATATTTTGCTTTTGTCACTATTTACATTTACTGTATTTGGTATATCAATGCAGTTAAAGTCTTTATCTGTACAGATTGTCTCATAACCTGCACTTTGGGGTTTTTGAAGCACATACTAGGATTTGTTTGTGACATCCAGTGCCAACTAAAAAAAATTATTTACCACCAGGAACATTAGAAATATCGGTTAGGCTGATAGAATCTCAAAACTAGACGCACTTAAATGATATATAAATAAAATTATAAAAAAATATTTGCTTCAGTGAATCCATTATTGCTCTATTCCAGTAGCCAGGGAAGTGTGCATCTGGATCATTTAACTGCTCTAATAGCTATTTAAGAGTATTTTTCTGCCAGTAGTAGTTGGCAGCTGATAAACTGTACCTGTGTCCTTTCACTCTGACTGAGGAAACTAACAGGAGCTATTTTGAACTTATTTTGAAATACATAATAGTATTTTTTAAATTAAATTATACCCATCTTCTATTTGATGTGAGGTTTTGCTTTCTTAAGGAGCCTGCTAATCACTTAAATGGCCCCAGAAGCCTGTGTTCACATCATGCTTTTTACAGCAACCAACACTGTGAACAAGGAACTCCCTGTGAATTAGAGATTACTTCACAAATTTAACTTAATTAAATAATCCTGAATTCAGACTCTTAAAAAAAAAAAAAAAAAAGAAAAGAAAACACCCCAGTGCTCTAAGTCACTCCCTCTGACCAGAGCCAAGGAAAATATCCTGTGGTATTTGAGCCCCATCAGTCAGTGAGCAGTGAGTTTGGAAACAGTTTCCAGCCCCAGGCCCTCTCCAAGAGCAGTTCCCCTTTCTCATTCCTTCTGTATCACTGTGATTTTTTTGACGAAGAACATATACCAACTAGACAAAATAAATGCTTCATAAAAGCACTTTTATGGAAGGAATTAACACATGGCTGGCAATTAATGCCACCTTCCATACTGTGGCTGCCTCGGCAGGAGAAAAGCAGGCTCAGCCATGGCTGGGGTCACTGCTGTGGGACAGTGCATCACCTCAGCACAAACCACACCCTACCAGCAGAATCCAGTGGGTCTGGTGGGAGACCACCAAGGTTTCCATGTGGGGACCAAGGAGGTGCCAGTACTCCTCTGGTGCTGCCCTCTGCCTTCAATCCCAAGGGACCAAGTCCCACTCGGTTTGGACCTACACTATATTTGATATTGTGGTGCGAAGTCCCTGAAGCTGGAGGGACAAAGCTCCAAGATATTTCCATCAGGGCTCTAGCACCTAGGCACAAAGGTTGGTCCAGACAGGATTTTCATGTATTACCTCTTTTAACAATACATGAGTTTGAAATCTTTAGTTCCATCTACATATCTAAGGCCAATGTACTTCTTAACCGATAGAAGCGGGTAGCTGCTGCTCAGCTCTCCTACCTTGACGGGGTGGAGGTATCCATCCCCTCGGAGCGTGCCCAAGCCCTCTCCCTGCGACTCCTCCTCATCCTGCAGGCTGCGAGTGAGGTGTGCGATGTAGGTGGTGGCCAGGAGGAGCACGTCCAGCTTGGAGAGCTTGGTGTCGGGGGGCACCGAGGGGAGAGTCTTCTGCAGCTCCAGGAAGGCGTGGCGCAGGGTCTGCACCCGGCTGCGCTCCCGGGCGGCGTTGGCGGCCGCGGGTCGGCCCGGGGATGCCCCAGCCCGCTGCCCGCCCACCAAGGGAGGGCAGGAATTGCCGCCGGCAGCTGGAGGCAGCAGGGAATCGGGCTCTGCGCCCGGGCTGGAAATCTCCTCGCTGCTGTCAGCTAAGTGTCCACAGTCCATCGGTGACTTCGCTGGCAGGGAGGGTCCTGCAAGCAACAAGAGCATCTCTAAGGGCAGATGCTGCACTGCGCCGAAACTCTCTAAAAACCAAGATGATCAGAAATACCAGCGCTACCTGTGCCGGGAAAAGCCGGGGTGCAGTTCTGCGAGCTGCTTTTCCACTGGCTGCTTACAAATTTGATTTCACACCGGTAGAGAAACAGGAGTTAAACTCTTCAATGATTGGGATTTAATTTTTTTTGAAAGTATTACACTGAAGCAAATTTTTTGAGTTACTCGTAGCCCAGAGGTGGCTTCTGAGAAAACCCAACAGGCACCGCTCAGCAGCACTGACACAGTGGTTTCCATTTACAAATTACTAAAAATTAGGCTAAATGCAATTTTTAAAACATATTCTTTGTATGGTTTGGGATGTGAGACTTTTTATATATTTTCTGTTTAGCTTCTATTTTCTATTTCTATTTATTTCTATTAATCATTTTATCAACGGTCTCACAGGTGATCAGTGTGTCACAGCACTGATCATGGATCACAGAAAGAAAAATATAATTTTCAGATGCAGCAGTTAGTGGAGACACAGAATGCAGACTCAGCTTTTAAAAGGCAAAATTTGATCCATAATTTTAAAGGATCAGGACTGGACTTCTCCTGTCCTCCCACCCCTAATGTTACTTAAAAAATTTCTGGGCTTGTTCTCTATCATCTACATTTTCAAATTTCAGAAGAATCTTTTAACCTCTATTATGGCCATTTGGGGGCAAGAGAACCTTTTGAAAACAAAAACTTATTTTGAGCGAAGCTGAAAATAATATCCACAAGGCCTTTTCCCAGCTTTCAGAAAAGCTGGTCAGCCAGCTCTGCCTGTAATACAACTCACAGTATTTTAATTAATTCAGTTCCTCGATCAATATTCCCCAAAGTGTAGAACTTCTTAGCTGGAATAATACCTGATCCTGTTGTCCTCAGTTTAGCAGCCCTCCTGGCAGTCCCAGATTTCAGCTTTCACGTGTTAGGACTGTCTGTTTCTGTGACAGCCTGGCTAGACAAGGGCAAGGACAAGTTATTAAACATTTTGATTTCATTTAAAATTATGTAATATTAAAAATTTAAATTAGAAGTGATACATATAAATGACAGAAGATCTAAATTTACAAGAATTAGGTCTTGATTTTGCAAAGCATTTCAAGCACACTCTGAAGTCAAAGATTTCTAGCAAGGACCAGGAAAGGTTTCTAAATAATCCTTTTTGCAATACTCTAATTTTATGGCATTTATAAGATATTATTATTGTTATTATTTCAGGTGTTCCATTGTGATTATTTTGATGTTAATCTGGTTCACAGTTTTATCATGTCATGTTCTCTTCAATATCAGTACAGGTTAGACTGAAATTATTTGTGAAATATTCTGTGTATATTGGAGCTGTAAACCAAAGGGAAAAAATTTACTCCATTCAGTAAACGTTGATTTCTTCTTCAAGCTCATCTCCAGCATTTATGATCAGTATAAAATAAAGCTCACATTAACACCACATGAGCTTGTCTAGAGCAAGGGCTGAAAAATGGTCCTTAAATTGGCTATTGCCTCTAGCTTAAAATAAAAAAATCCTATGTGCTTTTTTTGTAGTGTTTTCTCATCGTGTTAGGCACAGTCAGATCTGGATGCACTTTAGTTTAAAAAAAAAAAATCATCATTGCAGAGATGACATCAAGACAATCATTAAGACAATCATGAAAACTGGCAGAAGTTTATGTTTGTCAGCGGGACTTTTCATTTGCCATACCTAATTCCCCATACATCTAATTCCCACTGATACAAGGAAGTCTTCCCTGATTGCTGGAGAAGTCCAGAATACCCAAGGATATGGACAGACGGGTTAGTATAAATACCTGCTCCTCTGATGAAATACATGACTAAGGCTGGTTTACACTCAGTTTTGATTTCACCCTGCTGGTGTATGGCCAGATTTAGAACTGTAATGACTCCATAGTAATGCACGTACCTAAAAGCCTCATCTCCTTGGGTGCTCCTTGGAGTAGGAGTTTCTGTTTTAGGAGCTTCACATCTACATCAGATGAAATCCTAGGCCTATATTAAGAAAATGCAAAAAGTTTCATCTGTGGAAATGAGAGATTTCACTCTGAATTAAATATCTCCACTGTCAGGCTTCCCATCAAGTACAAACAGCAAATGGCCTGGGAAAATCTGCTACACAGAAACACGGGATCTGCTGTAGGTACACAGATATGTGTAGCCAAACCACGGTGATTCCCACACCAGGATCTGTTCTGTTGCACACTGGGACTGGGCAGCATCGCTCTTCTCCCCAGGACACACACTCTGGGGGCTGCGCTCACTGCAAACCCCGGAGTCACCCGAACCTCATGATCCAAAAAATTCTGCTGAAAACTAAAGCAAACAGAACGCTTCTGGGTAACAGTCATCTTCCCTTCAGAATTTTACAAGAAAGAGGGTTGATTTTTAAAGAATCGCAGTAATTTTTGCAAACACCCGCTTGCAGCCCAATGTGCAGAGAGAACTGGGGCTGTGGAAGTAAGTTGAAGTATTTATATTGTTTCTAAAGCATTTTTAGTGCAGTATTTTTAATGCGGGCAGACGCATTTGTGTTTTTACATGACATTACAAAGACATAATTGGTTTAAAATCTTTTACCAAAGCAACCAGCAGAACACTTGTTTAGTCTTACATTCCATGCGAACAAAACGGCAATGAAGGCAACCTGCCCACACAGACAAGGAAAAGGTGGAAAACGCCCGAGCAGAGCACACAGGCTGAAAAGAAACAGGTGGAAACCTCAGATAAACTTTTCCGTTGCTCCTTGGGGGGAAAAAACATAGTGAATCTGAATTATTTTGCATCGGTTTTAAAAAGACCTTGCCTTCTACATAACTCTGGTAACAGGTAAGGAAAATCCTTTCTCCCGCGCAGGGAAATAGGAACTTGCCTGTCGATGTGCGAGGGCAGCACCGGCGCTCACCGAGGAGCCTGCAGTGACCCTCGCCGGCTGCCCGGGGGTGCGGGACGCTGCGCCTGCTGCATCCCCATCCCGCATCCCACCGGGTGAACCCGGCTCCCCGCGACCTGGCGGGACCCCGCAGTGCCCGGCCCGGGGATGAACTTACCGTTCCCGCCCGCTGCGGAGCGGGACAGTTCGGTGCAGCCCGCTCCGCTCCCGTCCCGGCCCGTCCCGTCGCGGCCCGTCCGGCCCCGCGGAGCCGCTTATAAGCCGTGGCGGCGGTGGATGCGGCGGGGCTGGGTCGCACCTGGCCGCCGGGCTCCCCCCCGCCAGCCCGGGCGGCAGCGACCGCCCCTTCCCGGGCGGGTGGGTCATCAATCACGGAGCTGTCGGGGGGAGGGCAGCGCCCCACGCTCCCCTCGCTCCCCGCCCTCCCCCGGCCCGGCCCCGGGTCCGTGCGGGTCCCGCCGCCGCTCGCCCCGTCCGCGCTGTTTTTCTTAGGATAAAGTAACGGTTTTGCTGGAGGAGAGAAATTTAATCTCTGGGCTGGGAGCGCGGGCGATGCCCTGTTAAAAGCAAGTCCTTTCTCCCCGCTCCGCCGCGGCTTCTCCGGCTCGCTGAGGTTCCTGGGGCCGAGACGGTTCCCCCGGGTGAGACGCGAGGAGGGAGCGGGTCGTGGCTGCCCGGGCACCGCTGGGGGGGACCGACTCACACGCGTGGGTCCAAAGCGGGATGGAAACACGAACGGGATGAGGCGAGCCCGGACGGGCAGAGAGAGGGATTTAACAGGGAACGGGGAGCGAATAAAAATCAGTAACGCTAATGAGAAAGGACAGTCAAAATAAATACCGGGGTATAGAATTAGCTCAGAATAACATTTCGAACGAAACCCGATTGTGCGATAACAGAGACACAATAAATCAAGCCTCGGGAGCAGTGGAAAAACAAAGTCTGAGCGATTCGTTAACCGGGTTTGCAGCCAAGAAAATTAAGGACTTAAACTTCAGCGATAACTGGAAATCCCGGTAAGGGACGAGCCCAGTGAGGGCCCGGCGGGGGCGACCGCGCAGGGGGATCCGGACACCTGCCCTCGGCCCCGGGCGCGGCCCGACGGTGCCCAGGGACCGCCTGCCGCCGCCGCCGGGCCCTGCCACCAAAACGCTCCAGCCCGAGTGTTCCACCACCGCCGCGCTGAGGGGGACGAGCCGGGGCTGCCCGCGGGGGGACCCCTGCCCTGCCCGGCGCCCACCGCCCCGCCGGGCCCCCGCCGGCCTTGGTGCTCTCGCCTGGTACCCGCAGCCCCGCGGAACCGCGTCTGCCCGGTGAAGAAGGCTGGACGGCGAGGGGTGCTGTCGGGCTATTCTAAAGGTTCTGAATTTAAGTACTAAATTCTGAATTACGCTGAACTAAAACTGAAACTGTGTGTCAACGTTTACCTTCGCCTGACGCTGGCAGCTCGGGGGGGTTCCCTTCGTGCCTCAGGGGCTGCTCTTTCAAAAGCTACTCTGTCGGTATGTACAAGACCGCGATGATGGACTTCAGTGGAGGCATCTCCAAGCACCTGTGCTGAGCCACGTTTTTGCCCTGAGGTTTCCAACGCTGCCTCCAGCCCAAGTGAGATTTGCTGAATCCTTTCTGCAGCCGGACACCTCTATGCTCAGCCAGCCTCTGGTGACTCAAGCAAGCAGTTCTTGAACACGTCCTTAAAATTATACTCAAACATCCTCACTGTGGTGTGATGTGGGAGAACTGATCCCAGACTCCCTGGGGAGCAGGGAGACTTGCCTTCCAGCCCCACTTCCACTGAATCCCCAGTTCCACTGGGGCTCCTCTGTCATTCTGTAAGCACCATACATGCCCTGACTGGGTCCAGCACACAAGTCTGGAGTACTCCAGACCCATCCCCCAGGGAGGTGTCCTCATTTTGCCTGCCCAGGTGCCTCCCCAAAGAGGTGTTCTCACTAGGCTATGGGACACTTAGCCGTGTCACTGACAGAGAACAGCAGGTGTCCCAACTACCCAA